AAGTATCAGTAGTTTTGTGTCACATTTCTGCTAAAAGGAAGACATGAATGAATAAAGCATCTGAAACCAGGCCCATCGGAAGCTGTGGGGTTTGGGCAGGCTGCAACCCCTTTCAGTAATTTTCAAAATTGTTGTGAAAATTTAACAAGCCCCAGCTTTTCCCAAATCTTCTAGGAAAAAGTCACATACCGTAGAGTCTCGAAATAATAAGCTGCCCGAGCTATTTCAATTTTAAAAAGGTGGCTAATTTAATGGTGCGGTTAATTTTAGTGGAAGGATATTTCGAGACTCTAAGATATTTGAATTTTCAGACCCCCATTCTTACTTAGAGCTTCCGACGGCGGTGAAAACAAGAAATGGCTGAACATTGTGTTGTGCGACAAGATGAATGACGTACAACTCATGACACTCCACGCAACGCTATTAAAGTGTATGAATTGTTTTAGCAGAAACTGTGATCGTAATATTCTAATAATTGGATAATATTCTAAAAGCTGTATAACATTTGCACTATTTCTGCCAAATCAACATTTATACTAGATATTTTTAATTAAATTAAATTTTCTTTATTGATATTAAACTGGAATTCATGATTATTATTGAATGTGATGAAAGTTGACGTGTTCTGAGAGCAGTAAAATGGACAAGTTTTGTTGTTGCATATTCTAGCAACTTTTGCTCATCTTGATCATCTTGTGGGCATCCACTGAAGAAGGTTTTAAAAGCCTTTTTCCTCGTAAACCAGAATATTAAGACCAAAGGAATGATCAAGTCAGTTGGCAGATCATCATTTCAAGAGCTTTCCTTTTCAGTGATAAGTTTATGGATTAGGCTGACTATTATAACAAAGAACGTCCAATTAAATTAGAAAAGTAAATTTAGTAAAGTCAAAAGAACCAGTTGAAACCTGATCGTGACTAAAACACCACACGAGTGACATACGAGTACATACAAGTACATACGACTAACATACGAGTACGTACGAGTGACATACGACTACTTTCTGTTCAACAAATGAGAAACAACACAATTTCTTCAATACATTGATATTTGCGTTTATTTTTCCTTGTATTTGTGTGGACTTTGGGCAACCATTTGATGGATTTAAATGCTGAAAAGGTATTTTACTTTCATACTACATTCATTTGTATGTTTTAGTTGAATTTGTTATAGATATTTTGTCGATGCGATTTGCCAGTATTTGAGCGCTTTTTGACACACTTTCACCTAGGAAATATATATTTATGAAAGCGATTATACATTCATTTTGACTCTGAAGATGACTTCATATAGCACGTTTTCAAGGCATTATTTATACGTTGTATATTTAATACGTTGTATATATTGAATAAGTTGTAAATAAATCAACACCGAACAACTGACAGAGCAAGACCCAAAAGATAGCATGAAAGAATTAACGACATTGACGTTAACTTTTGGGTCTCGTTTATAACGGTTAACCGTAACAAGTCCTTCACAGCTATGTACGTATTTTGGTATTTGTTCACTGTAAAAACAATATCCATTAGGAAACCAACAATGAAATCGTGTTAAAAAACTTACAGAGCATGACCATGCAACTCTTGAGATGGCTAGGCTACCGCTTAACAGTTAATAGATTGTCACTTTGTCGTTTGCAAGAGCTCAAATGCTTTGCTTTGCTGTCTTTTGTCTTCAATTTAAGAATTATTGCTGTGATTAGCGTATTTGTCGTGGTGATTGACAATTGAGTAGTTCTTCAAAGAACAGTTGAACACCAAAATGAGGATATTACATAAAATTAAAATGACACGATGCATTTCGGCAAACTGCAGCATAATTTTATAACTATCTTCATTTCAGTTTTCTACAGTTCTTAAGAACTACTTAAATTGTCGTTCACCATGACAAATATGTTAATCACAGCAAAATTAAAGTTCGTGACCACAATAAAGTCTTTGTTTTGTACAAAAAATGTAATTTCCCTAAAACGTCATTGGAACTCATGCAATTGCCTCAATTCAAATCTGACTTTGCAATATTGTGCAGTCACTTTAAACTCTTCTCATACAGGCTATATACACAGTAATAGATTTCTGAAATGTGATTTCCCTACAACATCATTGGAATTGAATTGCGTTCAAAGCTGACTTTGCAATATTTTGAGAGCAATGAGCTGCCTGAATTACTTATTACTTATTTCCAAAAACAGACGAGTTGTTTTTTATATAGTAACTAACTAATTTGCAACTACTTAAATTGTCGTTCACCGTGACAAATACGTTAATGAGAGCAATATTAAAGCTCGTGACCACAATAACATGATAGATTGATAATTCAGTAATGTTTACGTCAAAATATAATGTGCCGACGTAGGATCGTTTAATTGAGCGATATTATTAACAATGTAAATATTTACGTGTACGCACTCTCCAAAAACTCGTTTCATGTACTACTTAAATAAATATTACAGCATCAACTAATTTCGTTGATAGCGACGACTTTGTCAAATGACATCAATTTTAATTCTTGTGTTTTGATGGATATATATTTCTTTAATGCAAGACTTTTTGTCTTATTTAGATGTCCTTGAAAACATCAAATATACGTGGGTAGTATACATTATGCGCATGGCATTTGGCAAAAAAATCAAGGCAACTAATTAGCATGCAAATTATAAACGTAATATAAAAGTCATATAACAATTGCCAGAGTAGTTAGGAAAAGTTTAAGTCAAGTGTTACATTTCCGTAACAAAGTCGAAAGAAACAGGAAAAAATTTATCAAACAATTTATTTAGAAATACAACTAATAAGAAATGAGGGAAAAGTAGAAGAACAATCCAATGAGTTAAAACTTATCAATTTCACATGTAATAAGTGACTTTATGGTTAACACAATCGATGTTTGTACATTCGATGAATTTTGTACAAGAGATTAATTCAACACGTTTTATGTCAACACATTGCGTAATTCGCTGAAAATCTCTACGTGCTTGACATTAAATTTTTAAGATATATTTTACCTACAACATCGATGAAATTAAATCGACATTAAAACTTCAAATCTAAACATTTATTCATCGAACGACCTCGACTGACTGTAATACTTTGAGAGCATAGAGATGTTAGCAATAGAAAATTACTTCCTCAATCTCAAAGCAAACTAACACATTCCTTAATAACAATTTTATTCTACATCATATATTTCTGTGTTTCAGAAAAAAAACACATCGTACGAATCATATACAAAATCACAGCTCTGCCAAAACTAGCTTAAACTAGCGTACTGTAGTCACGATAACCGGTTTGTTGGCTGCAAGCATTTAAGAAATAGCTCAACTTATCAAGACTGTTATTAATTTAAGATATTCACAACTATAAAACAGTTTTAAATGTTGAGTTTTGATTAATCATCTTCGCTGTCTCAAAGTAATTTTACGCACTTGAAATAAAGTATATTAACCGTTTGTTACAATTACCACATAATTCTTATATGATAATTGCGGTTAACCAACAATTATCATTGTAACATATTTAGAAACTTAGAAAGTATAAAATGCTTCCCTAATGAAAGCATGTGCATTATCAGAATTCATCACATACAAAAGAACAGCTAAGCAGTGAATTAGAAAGACATAGCTATAAGAAATCAGCTGACATGAGAACAGACATTATGGGTGAGCAGAGCATTTATAAAATAGTAAAGATGCGTTAACCTAGTCTCAAGTAAAACTTGCTTTAACTACAGTACTACAGTCAAACGTCTATTTAACTGTTTATCCATGGTGATTGCAACAACAGACATATTCAGGGCAAGGGGAGCGGTAACTTGTTGACTAAAACTAACAAATAATTTTTTTAAAAAATAATCAAATTTACTGTAATCATTCAAAAAATTCGAGTCAAAACGTGTTTGATCTCTGTACATTTACTATATAAATTAAGAGTATGTGTCGGCTTGAAATCGTGTTCAATGTGCATTTGTCGCTGCAGTACATTATGTGAGCTCAGCACGAACAGCACATCAATTGGTTTGTTTTAGATATTGATGAAGAAGTCATAAATATTAAATCACTGTTAAACTATTATTTGCGAAGACGAATTTGTCAAACGACATAGTTCATTTAGATGATGGTGTTTTGGTCGATATTTATGCAAAGAATATTTGTCATCCTTAGGTATCTTTGACAACTTCAAACATACATGGGTATTATGGATGCTGTTCGTTTTTGAAATGAGCGAAAACGTGAATGGGGGAAACAAAGAGTTAGGTAAGACAACAAACGAAGGCTTTAACCATGATAAAATATATAGTGACATATGAAATGATATAGTCAACGTATTCTATACGTCCCCGTTATAGTTCCAGTCCTCAAAGAAGAAGTTGTCTCAATTTATAATGAAAACTTCACTGACATTCCCAAGGACAGGGAGCCCTATTATGTTCAAGCTCAACGATGTGTCATGGAAAAAGATAAAATTCCTAAATGTGCATATTGTTGGCCCCAGCCAAATACGACGATAGAAGTCAAGATTGTCGTTCTTGATTTAAAAAACGACAGAAAATTTTACAAATATATTGTATATAATCACACTTCTTGTTACATGAGTACAAACTTAACAGCCTTGAACTTTCATCAACACAAGAATATATCTTCAAACGAAAGTAAGGACTTCTGAATTTGATTAAAATCTAAACTTAAATCTAAACTTGAAACGCTTTTCCTTTTGTTTTCTTCAGTTAACGAAACAGAATTTACAACAAAAGTAAAATACAATCCACCAAATGTGAGAACATGTAATGACTATTGCAAGCATCCACAACCTCGTTTTCATCTACACAGTGAATATACAAAGGTTGTTTTAGATTATCTCTTTATCCCATTCACTCAATGCTTGCCTGGTTGCAAAGCAACAAAAAATAAGAACATCAAAACACAAACCCATATGGTTCAACCAAGTTTGAAGCCATTGAAGAACATAAATCTTGCAATCTCTGGAACAAAAAGTCCATAAAGTCCACCTTCTAGTAGCAGACGCAGAGATCCAGGTAAAAATTTTCAATTATGATGGAAAGAATTAGCCAAAAGCGTAATGTGTGTAATTAGACGAGTACAACTTTTGAGAACAATTGCAAAATAATCATATTTTACGATTTGCTTCATGATCTTATTTCCATAAAATTTCTACAGAAAGTCGACCCCTCGTGCTAAATAACGGATTATTTGTCTACATCACATCACCCAGAATGATGTTAGTTGCCTTCATTCTCTCGACTGTCCTCATCTCAATACTCATTCTGGACTGTAATCTGTGTCATCGCAAGAAAGGAATGATGTATTCTATAAAAAGTTGTGGAAAGAATGAAGAGTGTGAAGACTGCGTAAGAAGACAGCAAACTATGATAGAAATGGTTTAAGTATCAGTAGTTTTTTGTGTCACACTTCTGCTTGGAATAAGACATGAACAAATGAAGCAGAATGAAACGATTATTAGAAAACTTGTATAAAGAAAAAAAACTTTTAGAATTTATGCTACGTTCGCACGAATATCTTGTCAATTACGATATTAATCGAATAAGTGTACTTTAAATTTCTGTTACAGTGATATAAAAGACAAATTATGAATATGAAGATTCAGAGCAATATAGCTTGTGTACACCTGGATGAATGGGCTTTGAAAGAAAATAAACTAAACACCTTTCGTGGAGACTAATGCCTGGAGTCTTAATGTTGAGTAAATGTTGAGTACATATTTTTGGTAAATGGAAACTTCTGCATTCTCGCACATTTTCCATCGTGACACGAAGATGCTGTGGATACAAGTATTAGCTTAAGGATAGAGAAATTAGAGCTTTTCTGTCCTTTTACTATATATTTACAAGTTTCCAAACATATTAGATGCAAGTGCATTGGTAAAATTATATTCATTAGAAATTCCAAACCAATAGTATTTTTGAACGTACTTTTCGAATATAAAATCGAATTGAGCTATATAACTTTATTTTGCCGAACGCTGAATCCGCTAATGATTAAAAAACAAATTTTGTCGGCAAAATATTTGGGAATTCAACATACATAGACGTTGTCCGCCGTGCAGACAAGGATGACCTTATTACGAAAACTCTATATACAAAGAGATATTGAAAACAATGACGCAAAAAAAAGTCATTTGCAGCAAGACGTGCGTGACTGACAATGTACGTACTGTATAAAAGTACCTATTTTACAAAGTGTCTATAGTTAAATTTGCTTATGAGTATAAAGTGAACGGACTGAAGAAAAAACAAAAGGTAGTCATTATATAATCTTAAAATATTTCGTCTAGTTCTCTCGTGGTTATTTAGAAGTCATTCGTGTCTCTAAATAACCATAACTCTACACACCATAAGGAAAGCATTGTAAGATTTAATAACATATCTTTTAATAAGTATAAAGTTTTCGGTGGCTGACTTTAATAGGGTTGTCTATAATAAAGTATTTTATTGAACATTAATATGTTAAGAATTTCAACAGTTCGTTTCTGTGATGTTGTAGTGATTTGTGTGTATTTCAAAAGGAATCCCCACCTATGTTAGTCAACGGTTTCTTTTTGTTTAATCAATGTTTTGGTAAAATAAATAAGGGATTAATAACCAGGACAAGCAGACATTTTTAAGTAAAACAAAATCAAACGAATTCTGAAAACAGACATCTCGTTTTCTTGATATTCAAGATGATACAAGAGTTTTAGACAACAGATTGTGTAATATTTTGTCTTTATTCCAAAGACATCATCAGACTAATAGGGGATGGATAAATAGTCTTCTTCATTTTCAATTATTAATATTACGTATACATTTACACATTATGTCATCAGATAAGTAAATACGAAAGTATACATACACATAACTATACAAAATTTGCATCTACAGCAAAAGATTATCTCAAAAGATATAACGACAAATTCATCTTGGTTTAGAGTAAAATTTGACGACTCTACTAAAATATTTGTCTGTTTAGCTCGCTTGCCTTTGTGAGTACAAAGTCGAGGAAAAAACGTTTGGCAAGATATAGCATATGACATTTAACGCGCATAGGTGTAGTTAGAGCATGAGTCAGTACAGACAATTTCGTCATCGCCTGTTTAAGCGTACTACGCATACAATTGTAATTGCTGTAATTTCATCAGCGATACATTCCAACTGATTTCATACATTTCAACTGATTTCATACATTCGGATTTCAACTGATTTCATACATTTCAACTGATTTCATACATTCGGATTTCAACTGATTTCATACATTACAACTGATTTCATACAATCGGATTCCAACTGATTTTATACATTACAACTGATTTCATACATTCGATTCCAACTGATTTTATACATTACAACTGATTTCATACATTCAGATTCCAACTGATTTTATACATTACAATGATTTACAACACTACCTATTCATATATAGTTGTAGTTGTTGTAATTCAGGTGATACTTACTAGTATCAAATTTGATCATTTATCGTACAAGAATTCGAAAGTAAAGATGAATTGCCATCGCCGATAATCGTTCACGTAAATTTCTTATGTTGTAAATGTTGTAAAGTTAGACAAGTTCAACTTTTGAACAGCTCCGATTTGTCTGCGATTAAATTACAACAATTACAACGCGCGTTTACTTATAGTTGTAATTGCTGCAAACGTTCATCACCGATCGAATTACAATAATTACAACTATATGTGAACTAGGCTTTATGGTAAAGTTGGTGCTGACAGACGAAAAACGTTTTCCTGCAGTTTCGTTTAAATCATGCACTCTTTATGACATTATCAATTAAGGAAGTTCGCAAATTTTTATTCTTTTAGCAGCTCAAGAGATAATTGTTTAATTCTATACATGTGTTAAGAGTATCTTTGTATAAGTCAAGCTTGAATTAATATCTACGATAACATAACTAGATTTCTATTTTCAAGTTCTTATGTATCGAATGTAGTGTGGAATCTCTGAGACTGTTACAGTAGCATTCCGATCGTTCACACGAAATCTTGGACGAAAATATTCAAAATTTAAAATATTTTACGAGTAAAGCTAAACTATCTTTTCAAAGCATTTCTATAATGCCAGAGACAAATTTATCTTCTAATATGGTTTGAATTACTGAACGAGAATACCATAGACGCTCACGAAACACAAAGCAAAAAATATTTGCTCGTATGTGTCCTTATAATAACCCAGCATGACAGCAGTCGTGGGCGAATATATTATTTTCATTGTCTGTAATGTACAGGTCAATGTATCAAAGACATAATGCAATAAATAACTAAAATAAGCAATGATATCGGAACATTAAAAAGGAAAACCATCGAGTATTTCTGTGTGATCTGATTAGTTACATGGAAAACTTTACTTTAGTAAAATACAAAACTTCTTCTGACAGCAAGCGATCAAAAGGAGACTACTCCGTCTATTATTCGGCAAACGACAAAATGAATATCAAATGCTTATGAACAGACATGAAAACCAGGCCGTATCCACAAATTGTCGTTCACCAAGACAAATGCGTTAATAAGAGCAATATTAAAGTTTGTGACCACAATAAAGTCTTTGTTTTATAAAAAAATGTAATTTCCCTAAAACGTCATTGGAACTCATGCAATTGCCTCAATTCAAATCTGACTTTGCAATATTGTAGTCACTTTAAACTCTTTCATACAGGCTATATAGACAGTAATAGATTTCTGAAATGTGATTTCCTACAACATCATTGGAATTGAATTGCGTTCAAAGCTGACTTTGCAATATTTTGAGAATGTGCTGCCTGAATTACTTTTACTTATTTCCAAAACAGACGAGTTGTTTTCTTTATAGTAACTGACTAATTTGCAATTCTATATAGCTATCAAATAATTTTATGTTCTCATCTTGTGGGCATCCACTGAAGAAGGTTTTAAAAGCCTTTTTCCTCGTAAACCAGAATATTAAGACCAAAGGAATGATCAAGTCAGTTGGCAGATCATCATTTCAAGAGCTTTCCTTTTCAGTCATAAGTTTATGGATTAGGCTGACTATTATAACAAAGAACGTCCAATTAGATTAGAAAAGTAAATTTAGTAAAGTCAAAAGAACCAGTTGAAACTTTGGTTACCTTTCATGCACGAGAATGAGTTTATATAACTGCGTTTTCTTTTCTTTGATTGTGGACTAAATCAAGCATGAATAGACTACTTTAAGTACAAAGAGTAAATAGATAAGATCTTGGATAATAACTGAACCAAATGCAATAATGACCAAATCAATTCAAGTGTTTTAGGGAACAAACAACTTTTTATTTGCAAAGGTAGTGGCAAGAAAATTGTTATTTTTGTAGATAAAACGTTTGTTACTTGCACCGCAATTAACGTAGCCGATATTCCGCCTTATGTGCGGCGTATCAGTGGCGTGCGTCACGAAGCCAGAGTAGGGCCCTGGGACCAATGGGAAAATACTGGCCCTTCTTAAAAAATATTAGCTATTAGGCAACAGAAAATTATTTCATAAGAATCATAACTATCTTCTCCTTTCTCTTTTGAGTTATAAATATAATATTTTCCTTCATAAATTATTTAATTATATGTTTAAAAGATAGTTATTTTGAGTTTCATTGAAGTTGATTTAAATTTTATATAAATGGTTGGTCATTAAATAAATAGATCAGTAGCTAAATCATTGCTAATTTTATGCTGATTACCAAAGAATAACACGTGCAAAATGTTAATATGGCGGACGATTTTTAAATTCTTTCCAATTCAAAAATAAAGCAAAGGATTAGACCGTTTTCGCCCTCAACGAATTAATAAATGACACACAAGAATGACGCCGAATCATCAAACAAATTTAACTTTGTTGCATTTTTAAAACGTTGTATAAAACGTCAAACTCACTTGTCCTGTCTCGCATTGAAGGTGAAAAAGTCGTTTAACTGTATCAATTCTGAAGAGCTAGACAGTATTTTGACTGAATTGATTAGTGATAAATGACTTAGGAATGTATCTATAATTTGCCAATCACAACAAATGATAACCACAAGCTAGTTAATAATTATTAATTATGTCGCGTATTATTCATTATTTGCATGTGTTATAGTAATCAATAAACCTTTCGTTGCTTTTTAAATTGATAATAAGCTGAAGTTTTTATATTGCAGGAGATTATATTTTAGGAATGAAAAAAAATAGTGAAAAGCACTTTCTAGCCAAAGTGAATTAAAAAAAATTAATGCTTGTTTTAATGCAAATTGCCGCCACTAAAACGTTACAATCGGGAACAACTGAATACATGAGTATCCTCTCCATCCCCTCCCCAATTTACTGTTCTGTCGACGGTCCTGCTTTCACGTATTAAACTTGATATCCAAGGATAGTGCAAAGTGTTAAAATATGCTCTCATATTCTTCCTGTAATTAGCAAATAATTAAGTCAAGTGTAACGAAGGAAAAACACTTGGAAAACAGTTAAACTATCCAAACGATACAATTTGAAACGATTAATTTTTTAAAGACGAAAACTAGAAAAGTGAAAGCCAACCCGTATAAACAACAAGGACGAGAAAGAAGGCAAGCTTTGTTTCAGGTGAAATAATGCCATGTAAAAATCTTTTGAATAACGTCGCTTTCTCGGTCTTTACTGAGAAATATCAGAACTTTGTCTTTTTCTACAAATCTCGACCTACGGGCTCGGTCTGTACAAGAAGACATCAGTCCGATATTTCTCCGAAAAGACCTTGCGCTCAGTTATTAAGGGCTTAATATTGTAACTGGATTTCAGGGAAATTACATCGGGATTTCGGGGTGACTATGGTTGAATTCGAGGGAGCTAGTTAAGTAGCAGAATTTTGGGCTCATACAATTATTTTACTCGCACGCCCTATTTAAATCTCACCTTGTCTTGAAGCGAAAGAAACAGTTGGGGTTACCCAGATAATATGCAAACAATGGCAGCAAATATATTAGATAATCACAGCGAATATATAAATGACTCTTTTCAGTATAGAGTCACTCATTATTCAAAATATGAAGACTATAGACTAAAAACAGTCGATATGTAAAAGAAAACCTCAAAACGCAGCAACAGCTGTGATATATACTCAATACACAGTTATCATCGTATCAAACATTTAAATGTCAGTACACTTTCACGATACTTAAAATTTATCTTTATATTCGGTACCTTCTTTAAGTTACAGCATTCTTTATTAACCTCTTCTACAAAACGCTTTCAAAGCCTCGGTAAAAGTACATTACTTACACGTTTGTAATTGAAAACAGCAGCGTGCTTCTGTGTCCCATCCTCGTCATTATTGAAACCCAAAATGAAGCATTCGACTGCATGGCGTAAACTTTAATTATTGTACTCACAGATTACCAATAGGCGAATTATCAAAGTCATTGTATCTCTTAATTCTCAAGTGAAGGTAATTATTGTTTAGCAATGCTAGAGAGCATGAACACTTCTGCTTTATACAATACATATGCATAAAGAATTGCTAATGAGTTCAATAGAATTATTAATATGAAATTCAGCAGTATTATTCTATTGAAATGCTGTCACTGTTTGCTTATTGGTGGGTTGTAACCATCCTCCTGAGAGTAAGAGAACAATGGAAAGCTGGCGATGTTGGATGAAATTAGCATTGTAAATAAGGAAAATCCTTTGTTAAAATCATCCAACATGGCGACTAAGACGTAGCTTGCAACCCAAGAATTGCTTTGATTACCCTACGTTTTAACTTTCCTTCACTTTTGATGAATTTGAGACATGCACTCCTATATATATAGAGAGCATGAAAAAATACTGAAAAGTATATTGGTGAGTAAAGGCAGTTATTTTTAAAAATAATTTTAGTATCGAGTAGGATTTTCTGCATGCTGTTGTTAATACGACTTGATCCTTTCTTACATCGCAAAAAAAGTTACTAAACTTATCAATATTAATATTAAAGAATGCAAAAGTCGACCCTACCTCAGAAATGTATTTTATTTCACATACAGAACAACTCCTCACAAAAAAGGTGTTACGACAATTGCTCTGCATGACGATGGCAATGAATGGTGCATCGCAACCGCTGATAGAGATGGAGTCATTAATATTTGGAATTAAACGTTTGGAAATAAGATATTTCGTTCAAGCAACAATATCTGGAATGAAACCACGAAACATCTAGGAGTGAAAAATAATCTCGGAATAAGATTATGAACATGCTTAACTTTATGAAGGCTAAAAATCACTAATGGCTGCTTCTTAGCATACACATATAGTAATTGATGTAACTCTAATATGCATGGCATAATTTGACCTTTCAAGTATAGTTTTATTTGTTGCGTTGTAACGTTACATAAGTTGAAAGAAATAGGAAAAAAGTTATTAAAATATTTATTTCGAATACAACAAAAAACGAATGAAGAAAAAGTAGAAGAACAATCCAATCAATTAAAACTTACCTGTTTCAACACTGATAAGTGACTCTCAAACATTCGTCGTAACTTCAATATTTTACGAGATAGGATCTGCACATGCGCGAAGGTATTTCTACACTATTCCTGCGTACCCCGAGAAAGGCCTATCGCAAATGATCTCGGGGTCTGATGGGCGGAAGCTTTTTACGTATTTGCATCCCCATGTAGGATAGCGAGGGGCTGAAATATCCACCGAAACGTTAACATGCAGCGTTCTAGTGCCTTACGCTTAAGAAGGTATCGGAAAGCATGGACTGAATACGTGGTTTTTTCTTTTGAATTTTATATTTGGTTTATCTCATAAAAGAAACTAGAACATTCAAGGATACTGCAAAGGTTCAAAATACTTCTGCGTCATTGACTTAGAATTTAAACCAACTCTAAACATGTTTATACGTTTTTTACATGTTACCTTTTACAATGTAACTTCCTCATGACTCTCTCGTGACGAGCGAGAGCCTTCTCTTAAAATATAACTTTCTCATCGTGAATAAAAGCATCCATGTGCTTCATGAAAAAAAGGGATTATCTACTTTTTTATAACAGTTTTTACAAAGATAACTTTTAAAAAGCCAAGCAATTTGTATCCTCTAAATTGAACCTCGCTTTCAATCCTTATGTTATAAAATTTTGATTTATTTTGGATAGTAAATTTCTTTTTACTTTACAATATTTTCATGATTCAATCTAGAAAGGAACTTCTCTTCTCGAGCAATTTTGCGATTTAACAGAACACTTGTCTGATTCAAATAAATTCTTTTGATCGCATAGAGATAGCCGTCCAATTTATTATGTACCTAAGCGTATATAAAGCTTTTTCAAATCACGTACAAAATTTCTTTCACATGACCAAATTACCGTCTATTTAAACGATGTATGTAATAAAAAGTTACCTTCACAACTGTAGCAGACCCTCCTGTCATTAACTTCCCAAATGTTATGCAGCACAACTGTAACTTTGACGACAAACTGCATAGAACAACTCTTGAACACTGTTCTCGATTACTGTAAATAATCATTACGAAATGTTGATTAAATATTCTGAAGTAATTATCTATGAAATAAATTTACTTAGATGATGCAAATTATTTTTTGATTCGGGGAAGTGATGTGCCATAGGAAGCAGAGATGATGAGTCAGCACGGGCGACGAGTTAGTAATATAAGTAATTAACAATTTAACAGTTGCACGTAGCACATGTCGTCATAGAGCAAGAAATGTCACTCAACTGTTATTGGCTAGTTTCAGTACATTTAGTCGCAAATAGCAATGTACTACAAATTATGTAACAACAACGTAAAATTCAGTAAGAGTGAAAAATTCTCTGATAAATTGTCTGCGAAAAATTTCATACGTTTCCCTCCTCGCTATATGATGAAGTATAATTGTAGAAATTGGAAAACTCAAAAGCCTTCTCGTGGCTTAGCAGATTAGCTCTAACTTTAAAACGGCTTAAGTTGAAGACGAAACGTCGACAGTAATCACCCTTACCATTACTTTCCCGATGGCCGTGTTGAAAAATCATAGCTGCGTCTGTCATGCTTATTATAAAAAGCTGACGTCAGTCAGAGTTAAGATGACTCTGAAGATGACTACCGCTAAGGTTGTCGAAACGTCAGTCTACATCAATAGCAACAGTCCTTCTAAGGACTCTACTAACCTGGACGATCTTCATCCACAAACATGTTACGATACTCCCGGGGTTAAACCATTTACTTTATTACTGTTTTGTGTTAGTGACCTGTCATTTTTTTAGTGAAACTTGCCGACATTGTGAAAATATTAGCCTGTTAAGACCAATACATACGTGGAAGACACGTGATATCAATGACTATCGCACACGTGATGACAAACATTGCATACAGCTGTGAATCGAGGAAAATATTTGGATAAATCGATTGTAAAAAAAGCGTTGAGTGATTTCTAGGCAGCCGATGATGTATAAACAATTGACAAGCGTGAAATCGTCAGCTTGCAACGTACCACTTATGTCACAGGTCATAAAATTGCCGTGTTTTTCCTAACTATTTTTAATTGCATTATTGCCTCCGTGGAGAATATTAATTAGGTGTACGCACTCTTCAAAAACTCGTTTCATGTACTACTTAAATAAATATTACAGCATCAACTAATTTCGTTGATAGCGACGACTTTGTCAAATGACATCAATTTTAATTCTTGTGTTTTGATGGATATATATTTCTTTAATGCAAGACTTTTTGTCTTATTTAGATGTCCTTGAAAACATCAAATATACGTGGGTAGTATACATTATGCGCATGGCATTTGGCAAAAATATCAAGGCAACTAATTAGCATGCGAATTATATACGTAATATAAAAGTCATATAACAATTGCCAGAGTAGTTAGGAAAAGTTTAAGTCAAGTGTTACATTTCCGTAACAAAGTCGAAAGAAACAGGAAAAAATTTATCCAACAATTTATTTAGAAATACAACTAATAAGAAATGAGGAAAAGTAGAAGAACAATCCAATGAGTTAAAACTTATAAATTTCACCTGTAATAAGTGACTTTATGGTTAACACACTTGATGTTTGTACATTCGATGAATTTTTGCAAGAGATTAATTTAACACATTTTATGTCAACACATTGCGTAATTCGCTGAAAATCTCTACGTGCTTGACATTAAATTTTTAAGATATATTTTACCTACAACATCGATGAAATTAAATCGACATTAAAACTTCAAATCTAAACATTTATTCATCGAACGACCTCGACTGACTGTAGTACTTTGAGAGCATAGAGATGTTAGCAATAGAAAATTACTTCCTCAATCTCAAAGCAAACTAACACATTCCTTAATAACAATTTTATTCTACATCATATATTTCTGTGTTTCAGAAAAAAAACACATCGTACGAATCATATACAAAATCACAGCTCTGCCAAAACTAGCTTAAACTAGCGTACTGTAGTCACGATAACCGGTTTGTTGGCTGCAAGCATTTAAGAAATAGCTCAACTTATCAAGACTGTTATTAATTTAAGATATTCACAACTATTAAACAGTTTTAAATGTTGAGTTTTGATTAATCATCTTCGATGTCTCAAAGTAATTTTACACACTTTAAATAAAGTATATTTACCATTTGTTACAATTACCACATAGTTCTTATATGATAATTGCGGTTAACCAACATTTCGCATTGTAACATAATTAGAAACTTAGAAAGTATAAAATGCTTCCCTAATAAAAGCATCTGCATTATCAGAATTCATCACATGCAAAAGAACAGCTAAGCAGTGAATTAGAAAGACATAGCTATAAGAAATCAGCTGACATGAGAACAGACATTATGGGTGAGCAGAGCATTTATAAAAATATAAAGATGCGTTAACCTAGTCTCAAGTAAAACTTGCTTTAACTACAGTACTACAGTCAAACGTCTATTTAACTGTTTATCCATGGTGATTGCAACAACAGACATATTCAGGGCAAGGGGAGCGGTAACTTGTTGACTAAAACTAACAAATAATTTTTTTAAAAAATAATCAAATTTATTGTAATCATTCAAAAAATTCGAATCAAAACATGTTTGATTTCTGTACATTTACTATATAAGTTAAGAGTATGTGTTGGCTTGAAATCGTCTTCAATGTGCATTTGTCGCTGCAGTACATTATGTGAGCTCAGCACGAACAACACATCAATTGGTTTGTTTTAGATATTGATGAAGAAGTCATAAATATTAAATCACCGTTAAACTATTAGTTGCGAAGACAAATTTGTCAAACGACATAGTTCATTTAGATGATGGTGTTTCGGTAGATATTTATGCAAAGAATATTTGTCATCCTTAGGTATCTTTGAGAACTTCAATACATGGGTATTATGGATGCTGTTCGTTTTTGAAATGAGCGAAAACGTGAATGGGGGAAACAATGAGTTAGGTAAGACAACAAACGAAGGCTTTAACCATAATAAAATATAAAGTGACATATGAAATGATATAGTCAACGTATTCTATACGTCCCCGTTATAGTTCCAGTCCTCAAAGAAGAAGTTGTCTCAATTTATAATGAAAACTTCACTGACATTCCAAGGACAGGGAGCCATATTATGTTAAAGTTCAACGATGTGTCATGGACCTAAATGTGCATATTGTTGGCCCCAGCCAAATACGACGATAGAAGTCGAGATTGTCGTTCTTGATTTAAAAACGACAGAAAATTTTACAAATATATTGTATATAATCACACTTTTGTTACATGAGTACAAACTTAACAGCCTTGAACTTTCATCAACACAAGAATCTATCTTCAAACGAAAGTAAGGACTTCTGAATTTGATTAAAATCTAAACTTAAATCTAAACTTGAAACGCTTTTCCTTTTGTTTTCTTCAGTTAACGAGACAGAATTTACAACAAAAGTAAAATACAATCCACCAAATGTGAGAACATGTAATGACTATTGCAAGCATCCACAACCTCGCTTTCATCTGCACAGTGAATATAGAAAGGTTGTTTTAAATTATCTCTTTATCCCATTCACTCAATGCTTGCCTGGTTGCAAAGCAACAAAAAACACAACGAACATCAAAACACAAACCCTAGATGGTTCAACCCTGTTCGAAGTCATTAATGAACATAAATCTTGCAATCTCTGGAACAAAAAAGTCCATAAAAGTCTACCTTATCGTAGCAGACGCAGTGATCCAGGTAAAAAATTTTCAATTATGATTGAAAAAATTAACCAAAAAGCGTAATGAGTGTAATAAGACGAGTACAACTTTTAAGAAAAATCGAAAAATAATCATGTTTTACGATTTGCTTCATGATCTTATTTCCATAAAATTTCTCTACAGAAAGTCGACCCCAGGTGCTAAATAACGGATTATTTGTTTACATCACATCACCCAGAATGATGTTAGTTGCCTTCATTCTCTCGACTGTCCTCATCTCAATACTCATTTTGGACTGTAATCTGTGTCATCGTAAGAAAGGAATAATGTATTCTATAAAAGTTGTGGAAAGAATGAAGAGTGTGAAGACTGCGTAAGAAGACAGCAAACTATGATAGAAATGGTTTAAGTATCAGTAGTTTTTGTGTCACACTTCTGCTTGGAATAAGACATGAACAAATGAAGCAGAATGAAACGATTATTAGAAAACTTGTATAAAGAAAAAAACTTTTAGAATTTATGCTACGTTCGCACGAATATCTTGTCAATTACGATATTAATCGAATAAGTGTACTTTAAATTTCTGTTACAGTGATATAAAAGACAAATTATGAATATGAAGATTCAGAGCAATATAGCTTGTGTACACCTGGATGAATGGGCTTTGAAAGAAAATAAACTAAACACCTTTCGTGGAGACTAATGCCTGGAGTCTTAATGTTGAGTAAATGTTGAGTACATATTTTTGGTAAATGGAAACTTCTGCATTCTCGCACATTTTCCATCGTGACACGAAGATGCTGTGGATACAAGTATTAGCTTAAGGATAGAGAAATTAGAGCTTTTTTGTCCTTTTACTATATATTTACAAGTTTCCAAACATATTAGATGCAAGTGCATTGGTAAAATTATATTCATTAGAAATTCCAAACCAATAGTGTTTTTGAAGGTATTTTTCGAATATAAAATTGAATCGAGCTATATAACTTTATTTTGCCGAACGCTGAATCCGCTAATGATTAAAAAAGAAATTTTGTCGGCAAAATATTTGGGAATTCAACATACATATACGTTGTCCGCCGTGCAGACAAGGATGACCTTATTACGAAAACTCTATATACAAAGAGATATTGAAAACAATGACGCAAAAAAAGTCATTTGCAGCAAGACGTGCGTGACTGACAATGTACGTACTGTATAAAAGTACCTATTTTACAAAGTGTCTATAGTTAAATTTGCTTATGAGTGTAAAGTGAACGGACTGAAGAAAAAACAAAAGGTAGTCATTATATAATCTTAAAATATTTCGTCTAGTTCTCTCGTGGTTATTTAGAAGTCATTCGTGTCTCTAAATAACCATAACTCTACACACCATAAGGAAAGCATTGTAAGATTTAATAACATATCTTTTAATAAGTATAAAGTTTTCGGTGGCTGACTTTAATAGGGTTGTCTATAATAAAGTATTTTATTGAACATTAATATGTTAAGAATTTCAACAGTTCGTTTCTGTGATGTTGTAGTGATTTGTGTGTATTTCAAAGGAATCCCCACCTATGTTAGTAAACGGTTTCTTTTGTTTAATCAATGTTTTGGTAAAATAAATAAGGGATTAATAACCAGGACAAGCAGACATTTTAAGTAAAACAAAATCAAACGAATTCTGAAAACAGACATCTCGTTTTCTTGATATTCAAGATGATACAAGAGTTTTAGACAACAGATTGTGTAATATTTTGTCTTTATTCCAAAGACATCATCAGACTAATAGGGGATGGATAAATAGTCTTCTTCATTTTCAATTATTAATATTACGTATACATTTACACATTATGTCATCAGATAAGTAAATACGAAAGTATACATACACATAACTATACAAAATTTGCATCTACAGCAAAAGATTATCTCGGGAAGATATAACGACAAATTCATCTTGGTTTAGAGTAAAATTTGACGACTCTACTAAAATATTTGTCTGTTTAGCTCGCTTGCCTTTGTGAGTACAAAGTCGAGCAAAAAACGTTTGGCAAGGTATAGCATATGACATTTAATGCGCATAGGTGTAGTTAGAGCATGAGTCAGTACAGACAATTTCGTCATCGCCTGTTTAAGCGTACTACGCATACAATTGTAATTGCTGTAATTTCATCAGCGATACATTCCAACTGATTTCATACATTTCAACTGATTTCATACATTCGGATTTCAACTGATTTCATACATTTCAACTGATTTCATACATTCGGATTTCAACTGATTTCATACATTACAACTGATTTCATACATTACAACTGATTTCATACAATCGGATTCCAACTGATTTTATACATTACAACTGATTTCATACATTCATTCCAACTGATTTTATACATTACAACTGATTTCATACATTCGATTCCAACTGATTTCATACATTACAACTGATTTCATACATTCGGATTCCAACTGATTTTATACATTACAACTGATTTCATACATTCGGATTCCAACTGATTTTATACATTACAACTGATTTCATACATTCGGATTCCAACTGATTTTATACATTGCAAATGATTTACAACACTACCTATTCATATATAGTTGTAGTTGTTGTAATTCAGGTGATACTTACTAGTATCAAATTTGATCATTTATCGTACAAGAATTCGAAAGTAAAGATGAATTGCCATCGCCGATAATCGTTCACGTGTAAATTTCTTATGTTGTAAATGTTGTAAAAGTTAGACAAGTTCAACTTTTACAACAGCTGCCGATTTGTCTGCGATTAAATTACAACAATTACAACGCGCGTTTACTTATAGTTGTAATTGCTGCAAACGTTCATCACCGATCGAATTACAACAATTACAACTATATATGAACTAGGCTTTATGGTAAAGTTGGTGCTGACAGACGAAAAACGTTTTTCTGCAGTTTCTTTTACATCATGCACTCTTTATCACACTATCTATTAAGAAAGTTCACAAATTTTTATTCTTTTAGCAGCTCAAGAGATAATTGTTTAATTCTATACATGTGTTAAGAGTATCTTTGTATAAGTCAAGCTTGAATTAATATCTACGATAACATAACTAGATTTCTATTTTCAAGTTCTTATGTATCGAATGTAGTGTGGAATCTCTGAGACTGTTACAGTAGCATTCCGATCGTTCACACGAAATCTTGGACGAAAATATTCAAAATTTAAAATATTTTACGAGTAAAGCTAAACTATCTTTTCAAAGCATTTCTATAATGCCAGAGACAAATTTATCTTCTAATATGGTTTGAATTACTGAACGAGAATACCATAGACGCTCACGAAACACAAAGCAAAAAATATTTGCTCGTATGTGTCCTTATAATAACCCAGCATGACAGCAGTCGTGGGCGAATATATTATTTTCATTGTCTGTAATGTACAGGTCAATGCATATCAAAGACATACTGCAATAAATAACTAAAATAAGCAATGATATCGGAACATTAAAAAGGGAAAACCCATCGAGTATTTCTGTGTAGATCTGATTAGTTACATGGAAAACTTTACTTTAGTAAAATACAAAACTTCTTCTGACAGCAAGCGGTCAAAAGGAGACTACTCCGTCTATTATTCGGCAAACGACAAAATGAATATCAAATGCTTATGAACAGACATGAAAACCAGGCCGTATGCACAAATTGTCGTTCACCAAGACAAATACGTTAATAAGAGCAATATTAAAGTTCGTGACCACAATAAAGTCTTTGTTTTATAAAAAAAATGTAATTTCCCTAAAACGTCATTGGAACTCATGCAATTGCCTCAATTCAAATCTGACTTTGCAATATTGTGCAGTCACTTTAAACTCTTTCCATACAGGCTATATAGACAGTAATAGATTTCTGAAATGTGATTTCCCTACAACATCATTGGAATTGAATTGCGTTCAAAGCTGACTTTGCAATATTTCGAGAGCAATGTGCTGCCTGAATTACTTATTACTTATTTCCAAAAACAGACGAGTTGTTTTCTTTATAGTAACTGACTAATTTGCAATTCTATATAGCTATCAAATAATTTTATGTTCTCGAACAAGTCATGGAGTTCATTTTTTGAATAAAGAATGCAAAATTGTCAAAAAAATAATACATACCCAATCGTTTTTAGCTGTAAAAATGACGACAATGATATAAATGTACCTTTAAAATTTTGTAACACGCAAAGAGTTAAATGGATATATAGCCACCGTAGCACACCATAACCCATGACAAACAAAAATTATCAAAATCTACAACAAGCGCTACAATGCGTGTTTGCTCTTCCTATTTTAAAAATATAGCCACGTAAAGAATTTGACACATCTTTGTTGCCCAGCAATCAAAAAAGAAAAATTTACCGCGGAATTTGCCAGAAGCAAATCAACAATTACATCTCAATCAAATAGCTATGTAACTTGGCATTTCGACAATTCATTCTACCTGTAAATTCTTCCCATTTCATATTACTCACAAAACATGATAAATTGATAATTCAGTAATGTTTACGTCAAAATATAATGTGCCGACGTAGGATCGTTTAATTGAGTGATATTATTAACAATGTAAATATTTACTTTTTGTTAGGTTTTGTGATGTAGCCATTATCTTTTTTAATATAATTTGACTTACACCAACAAATGTTACAGATAACTATACGATCACATCTAATGTTCAACGTCTTCTATTTTACAATGATTTAACTACTTCTATTTATACAAAATTTACGTAAGATTGTTTTGGGTTCTTGTAACAAATATGGTTTATTGACGTCAACGGAAAACTACTAGGAACTATAAAAAATATTGTCTTGATAACATTATAAGTATCTCTTAAAGTGCTTATCTCACAATTTTTTTTTTCGAATTTTCGTATTGCTTCTTCAAAAGTAATCTAAAACTTATATTACAATTTTTTCATGCGCTGCATTGTTTTCGAATTATTATTGATCAAATATGAAATTTGACAGAAAAAGTTGATAATTGGCATAGGGCCTGGATCAAGTCTCTGTGACGTAACTTAAGGAACAAGTCAAGGGCTAGTTGTTATCAACGATTAGATGGCGGAGTTGAATTCTGATTCGGAAAGCTCTCATAGTTCGCAATGTGATTCGGAGTATGATTATATTCCCGGTTATGTCATCGAGGACGAAACAAGGAACATTAATGACCAGGAATATAATATAATAGATGAAAATCACGGCGAGTCCGAGTCCTATCTATACGCTGATGAACCAATGGCCGAACAAGCATGGTATGAAGACTACGTGGAAAAGTCAAATGAACATAAAAGCAACTTGAAATGCTACAAAAAGACTTGATCACACAGTTGAGTTGAGTTCTTGGTGAGTAATAAAGTTTCTAATTTCAATTCAACTTATGAAATGTATTTCAATTCAGGTTTCAAGTTATGAAATATAGACATAAACGAGCAATTATCTATTCAAGATTACCATCGCTTTTTTTTACTTTTGGGCAAAAAATTGTTAAAAGATGCTCGATTACAATTTTTTAATGTGATTTTCTTTATTGATCAGGTGCAAGTGTGGTTTTTGTCAAGTTACACTTCTTCAGAATCCTCAAGAGGCCTGGTGCTGCCAAGAACTTAAGCCTGTAGCTGAAAGCTTAACACACCAGTCGGTTCTGGCAGATCTGTCATCTATTCCATGTTGTGTCACTCTACACCCAGGTTTCAAACCAGTTTGTTTGGAAAAGTGGTCGCTAAAAATGGCTGCTAGGAAATACAAAACCAAAGAACAAAGACGATACAAAGAAACAGGATCTGAAAACATGTATGATAGCATATTATGTTATTTCCCAGTATTTAAGTACATTTTAGTGTTATGACATATTAGTAACGATTTGGCTTTATATTCAGGTTTTTACGATGTGTTGCATACAGAGAATTCACATCTATGATTTATGGATGCTTAGGAGAAGAAAGAAGACCATTACCAGCATGTGCATACCATGCAATAAGATCAAAATTTAATGATAAAAAGTTGGAATTTAGAGGGTATGAAGAAAATGAAATAAATGAGTGAAGTGAAAATTAAGTTTTCCTATTTTTTGGGCAATCTCCCACATGTTTGTGAACTTTCATTGGCTTCTTGCATGTCAAACATTTTGGCTGACTTTTTTCTTTTGAAACTGCCACATTTGACTGACAGCTGAATGGCACACTGGTAGCTGCTGGAATGAAACAAAAACATTTTTATTATTTAAAATGATTTTCAAACCATGTTTAGCTACAACATGTTATATAATCATTATTAATTACCTGGAATTGAGGGGGGACATCATTGACCACAATGCATTTTCGACGGACATGTTTTAGTAGCACCTCAGATCTGGTTTGCTTTTGCAACATGACATTCATTGGTGGTGGGGACATTTCTTTCAAAAGATTTTGTGAATTTGATAATGCGTCTTTGTCTTTTATTGACAACATCACTCTCAAATAATTCATCCACATACTCTAAAAAGAAATTATTGTCGTATTCAATACTATGAAATGAAGCAAAGCAACACATTTAGCAACAACTTACCAAATTTGGGCTTAACTCTGACATCCCTCGCAGTTCCTTCACCATTTTTAAACTTTGGATACACCACATTTATTTGGGAACTGCCATCATTCTTCATCTTTACATCACGCCTTAAGTTGTTGTTGAAGTGGATGGATGCCAAAATGTGTCTAAAACAATAAAGACTTGTGGAAGTTGCAAAACAACTAACATTGTCATATAGGAAATTTTCGCCCACCTGCTATACATTCCAACATAGGAATAATGAATCATTTTTGGAGCAAAATGATTCAGGACAGAATGGAATCCTTCCAAACAACTTGTTTGAGCAACTGGTGAAGCCTGTTGAATTGACTTCATCAGCTGTGGGTGTAACAATTTAGCACAAAGCTTTTCATGAGCAACTGAACCTTAAACATTACAACAAAGAATGATGATAAACTGTTAGGGAAGTTATCTTTAAATAATGCCTTCACAAACCTTCTAACAAATATTCCCTTGGTTGAATATCAGGGCCATGAAAACAACTTGAAAACAGTGGATCATCCAAATTGGTGTGCTTGTCTACTATGTGACTCAGGAAAGATTTGAACTTTGCCCAAATTACTTTGCCATCACAATAACAAACAGCCGAATACTTAGTCGGTGTCCATCGAGCGCGTTTTCTTGCAACAAAATTCACCCAGATTTTACGTCTTCGCTTCGTTTCAGGACGCTCATCACCGTAAAATGGTATACGGTGAAGAGAAATTCCTTCCGCAGAATTTGCTCGGTTTGAACAGCCGAAAACTGCACATCTATCAGGCAATTTGATGCAGAGTCGTAGTAGATGAAGTAGAAATTATAGCAAAAATCACACTTCAGAAAAACTTCCTGTCCTTATGTTACGTCACATACTTCTCGATTCAGGCTCTCATCAAGCAAATTGAACGCGCAGCAATTTTCTCCATTATTGCCGATTTTGAGAAAAGAAACGCATTTATCTCATAAACGAAGCGATCAATCAGAAAATTGTAAAATAACTTTTACAATAATTTTTTTACCTCAATCAGAAAATTCAAAAAAAAAAATTGTGAGATAAGCACTTTAACATTAGTCATCTAATTACTTACACTTGAATTAATCACGGGAGGAATATGAGCGCATATCTTAACACTGTTTAAGCAAGTTGAGTGAAGGATAGGCCAGCCTGACCATAGTGCAGGATATGAAAGAATAATAAGATAATAATTATGCTATGGGCCCACGCTTTCGATTATTCTTTATGATTTGAATTTTACAATAACTTAATTAAGTGAAGGAAAAAATGGTTAAAGAGAAATCTTAACATTTTAAGTGCCAGTTTATAATTTAATACCGACATAAAATACTTCAATTTAAAACTGGTTGATTACAAAGTTTTGATGAGGCATCTTCAATGGTTCAGGGATGAATAACCATTGATTGTATAGTAAATAAACAATTAAATGAGAGTACCTACATAATGGTTACATATGAATGACATTCCGTTCAAATATATTCATAGTACTTATCAAAATATAGGATGTCTTTGAAGACCCTTTTCCATCTCAATTGTGGTTAAAAATCTTAAATTTTTGAGGTTTATAAAACCATGCTATTGAAATTAGAGAGTATAAAAGTCTTTTCAGAACTCATTATTTATAAAAGTGAAGCTAAGTTATGAATTATAAGAGAGATATTGTACAAGATATCTTTGAGAAATCAGCTTGTAAAAACAGAACAAATGGGTGAGCAATGCATGTTTTTTAATGATGGAGAAAATGCATCAATTTAGTCTTCAAAAACTTACTTAATCATTATCTTATAAGAAAGTTAAAGATACTTTCATTTGTGATGACAAATTTGTTTGATGACATAATTCTACGATTAATGAATTTATTTTGTTAATAATAAAATTGAGTGATTTACTGAAACACAATAAACCATAACCCAACATCCCCTGTATTTTTTCACGATAAAATAAATGCTTCATAAAATGAGCAGTTAGCGTGTGCAATAATGAGCATTAAACGATGAATTTTCTGAAAAACAATCTTTGTCTTCTTTAGGTGTCTTTATCAGATTCAAATATACATGTATAATATGTGTGGTGTTCATGAGCAAGAATGTGCATTGTAAAACAGAGAACGAGACTACTAACAATAAACCAGGTACAAAAACAAATAATGATTTGAATCATGATGAAAATAAGTTAACATTAATATTCATTTTCTATAGTGTCAGTCCTCAAGGAAGAAGTTGTCTCAATTTATAATGAAAACTTCGCTGACATTCCCAAGGACAGAGAGCCATATTATGTTAAAGTTCAACGATGTATCATCGATAAAGATAAAATTCCTACATGTTCATATTGTTGGCCCCAACCTATGACATTGACAGAAGTCGAGATTGTCGTTCCTGATTTAAAAAACTACACAAAGTTTTACAAATATGTTGTATATAATCACACTTCTTGTTACCTGGAAAAGAACTTAATAGCCCTGAAGTTTAATCTACACAAGAATCTATCTTCAAACGAAAGTAAGGACTTCTGTATTTAATTGAAATTTAAACTGAGATCTAAATTTGAAACGCCTTTCCTTTTGTGTTTACAGTTTACGACACAGAATTTACAACAAAAGTAAAATACAATCCACCAAACGTGAGAACATGTAATGACTATTGCAAGCATCCACAACCTCGTTTTCATCTGCACAGTGAATATACAAAGATTGCTTTAGATTATCTCTTTATACCATTCACTCAATGCTTGCCTGGTTGCAAAGCAACAGAGAAAATGAAAATTGTCAAAACAGAAATCCTAGAGGGTTCAACCCCGTTGAAAGTCATTAAAGAACATAAAGCTTGCAATCTCTGGAACAAAAAAGTCCAGGAGAGTACACCTTATCGTAGCAGACGCAGTAATACAGGTAAAAAATTTTCAATTATGATTGAAAAATTTAACCAAAAAGCGTTATGTGTGTGTATTTAGATGTGCACAACTTTTGAGAAAAATTGCAAAATAATCATGTTTTACGATTTGTTTCATGATCTTATTTCCATAAAATTTCTCTACAGAAAGTCGACCCCTCGTGCTAAATAAAGGATTATTTGCTTACATCACATCACCTAAAATGATGCTAGTTGCCTTCATTCTTTTGACTGTCCTCATCTCAATACTCATTCTGGACTGTAATCTGTGTCATCGTAAGAAAGGAATAATGTATTCTATAAAAAGTTGTGGAAAGAATAAAGAGTGTGAAGACTGCGTAAGAAGACAGCAAACTATGATAGAAATGGTTTAAGTATCAGTAGTTTTTGTGTCACATTTCTGTAAAAAGGAAGACATGAATGAATAAAGCATCTGAAACCAGGTCCCATCGGAAGCTGTGGGGATTGGGCAGGCTGCAACCCCCTTTCAGTAATTTCCAAAATTGTTGTGAAAATTTAACAAGCCCAGCTTTTCCCGAATCTTCTAGGAGAAAGTCACATACCGTCGAATCTCGAAATAATAAGCTGCCCGGGCTTATTTTAATTTTAAAAAGGTGGCTAATTTAATGATGCGGTTACTTTCAGTGTAAGGATATTTCGAGACTCTAAGATATTTGAATTTTCAGACCCCCATTCTTAGTTAGAGCTTCCAACGGCGGTGAAAACAACAAATGACTGAACATTGTGTTGTGCGACAAGATGAATGACGTACAAATCATGACACTCCACGCAATGCTATTAAAGTGTATGAAATGTTTTCAGCAGAAACTGTGAGCGTAATATTCTAATAATTGGATAATATTCTAAAAGTTGTATAACATTTGCACTAATTTCTGCCAAGTCAACATTATACTAAATATTCTTAATTACATTAAATTTTCTTTTAGTGATATTAAACTGGAATTCATGATTATAGTGAATGTGATGAAAGTTGACGTGTTTTGAGAGCAGTTAAATGGGCAAGTTTTGTTGTTGCATATTCTAGCAACATTTTGCTCATTTTATGGGCATCCACTGAAGAAGGATTTTAAAAGCCTTTTTTCCTCGTAAACCAGAATATTAAGAGCAAAACAAATGATCAAAGCTGACTTTGCAATATTTTGAGAGCAATGAGCTGCTTGAATTACTTATTACTTATTTCCAAAAACAGACGAGTTGTTTTTTCTTATAGTAACTAATTTGCAGTTCTATATAGTTATCAAATAATTTTATGTTCTCGAACAAGTCATGGAGTTCATTTTTTGAATAAAGAATGCAATATTGTCAAAAAAATAATACATATCCAATCGTTTTTAGCTGTAGTAATGACAACAATGATATAAATGTAGCTTTAAAATTTTGTAACACGCAAATAGTTAAATGGATATATAGCCACCAAAGTACACCATAACCCATGACAAACAAAAATTATCAAAATCTACAACAAGCGCTGTAGCGCTTGTTCTAGATTTTGATAATTTAGCGCTAATCTAGCGATTTTGATAATTTAGAACAAGCGCTACAATGCGTGTTTGCTTCGCCTATTTTAAAAATATAGCCACGTAAAGAATTTGACACATCTTTGTTGCCCAGCTATATAAAAACAAACGAAAAGAAAAATTTACCGCGGAATTTGCCAGAAGCAAATCAACAATTACATCTCAATTAAATAGCTATGTAACTTGGCATTTCGACAATTCGTTCTACCTGTAAATTCTTCCCATTTCATATTACTCACAAAACATGATAAATAGATAATTCAGTAATGTCTACGTCAAAATATAATGTGCCGACGTAGGATCGTTTAATTGAGAGATATGATTAACAATGTACATATTTACTTTTTAAGCAAGTTGGGAGAAGGATAGGCCAGCATGAACATTGTGCATGATATGAGAGAATAATTATGCTATGGGCCCACGCTTTCAGATTCTTCTTTATGATTTGAATTTTACAGTAACTTAATTAAGTGAAGCAAAAAATGGTTAAAGAGTAAGAAATCTTAAGATTTTAAGTGCCAGTTTATAATTTAATAGTGACATAAAATACTTCAATATAAAACTGGTTGATTACAGAGTTTTGATGAGCCATCTTCAATGGTTCAGGGATGAATAAACATTGATTGTATAGTAAATAAGCAATTAAATGAGAGTACCTACTTATTGTACTGAAGTTGTGAACTAAAGTTGCGAAGTACTAGCAAACGCGAAAGGTCTTTAAGCCCTGTGGACATTTGGCAATGAATCTGTTCAGTAAGCAAGGAAAAGCTTTTGCAATTCTAATCCGTTTGAAGGCCCTCTAAGAGTGTTATAATGCGATATACAGTAAATGTGGCACCAGAAGAGTATCGTAAATGTAGCCCTCTAAGAGTGTTATAATGCGATATCCAGTAAATGTGGCGCTAGAAGAGTATCGTAAATTTGGCGCTCTATGAGTAATATAATGCGATTTACAGTAAATGTGGCACTAGAAGAGTATCGTTGGGTTTTAAATGCAGTAGTACCCTGCATACTGTGCCCTTGACGTCTGTTGCCACTCGTAACTACTACAGGCGACTCATCAAAGAAATGCATACGGTTGCAATCAATCAATGAAATATTTGCTACGAAAGCTTCTAACTTCTCCATAACGTCCGGCCGTTCTGTTTCTCGAGGAATTTGACTTATTATCTTGTTAGAGTAACCAAGATCTTTTTTCGAAATTCTACTAATGGATGACCTGCTAGGTATGTTTGCTGGAAGGCAAACTTTGTTATTTTCTAGGTGTTGCTGAATCTCTTTTGCGTAAATAGATGGTTTATTAATTTTTAGATATTCAGCGTATGCAATAACGTCATTTGTACGCGTGGTTCGAACATCACGTTCGCCCTGGCGAGATGCAATAGAACCAGTGTCTACCCATAGATCTATTATATTTGATATAGTCTTATACGGTAGACTTAGTTGTTTCAAAATGTTTGTCAAACGCTGGTTATTTAACCACCTTTCAAGTATTTCATTTCTTACTTCTATCGCTAAAGCTTTTCCTTGCTTACTGAACGGATTTATTGCCAAATGGCTACATGGCTTAAAGACCTTTCGCATTTGCCAGTACTTTGCAACTTTAGTTCACAACTTCAGTACTCAAGTACACAACTTGTCAACTCAAGTTGACAAGTTCATATCGAATATTCCATATTTGGAAATGTAACCATTGATTGTATAGTAAATAAACAATTAAATGAGAGTACCTACATAATGATTACATATGAATGACATTCCGTTCAAATATATTCATAGTACTTATCAAAATATAGGATGTCTTTGAAGACTATTTTCCATCTCAATTGTGGTTAAAATCTTAAATTTTTGAGGTTTATAAAACCATGCTATTGAAATTAGAGAGTATAAAAAGACTTTTCAGAACTCATTATTTATAAAAGCGAAGCTAAGTTGTGAATTATAAGAGAGACATTGTACAAGATATCTTTGAGAAATCAGCTTGTAAAAACAAAAGAAATGGATGAGCAATGCATGTTTATTAATGATGGAGAAAATGCATCAATTTAGTCTTCAAAAACTTACTTAATCATTATCTTATAAGAAAGTTAAAGATACTTTCATTTGTGATGACAAATTTGTTTGATGACATAATTCTACGATTAATGAATTTATTTTGTTAATAATATCATTGAGTGATTTACTGAAACACAATACACCATAACCCAACATCCCTTGTATTTTTTCACGATAAAATAAATGCTTCATAAAATGAGCAGTTCACGTGTGTAATAATGAGCATTAGACGATGAATTTTCTGAAAAACAATCTTTGTCTTCTTTAGGTGTCTTTATCAGATTCAAATATACATGTATAATATGTGTGGTGTTCATGAGCAAGAATGTGCATAGTAAAACTGAGAACGAGACTACTAACAATAAACCAGGTACAAAAACAAATAATGATTTGAATCATGATGAAAATAAGTTAACGTTAATATTCATTTTCTATAGTTCCAGTCCTGAAGGAAGAAGTTGTCTCAATTTATAATGAAAACTTCACTGACATTCCCAAGGACAGGGAGCCATATTATGTTAAAGTTCAACGATGTGTCATCGATAAAGATAAAATTCCTATATGTTTATTATGTTGGCCCCAACCTATGACATTGACAGAAGTCGAGATTGTTGTTCCTGATTTAAAAAACTACACAAAGTTTTACAAATATGTTGTATATAATCACACTTCTTGTTACCTGGAAAAGAACTTAAAAGCCTTGAAGTTTAATCTACACAAGAATCTATCTTCAAACGAAAGTAAGGACTTCTGTATTTAATTGAAATTTAAACTGAGATCTAAATTTGAAACGCTTTTCCTTTTGTTTTTCTTAGTTAACGAGACAGAATTTACAACAAAAGTAAAATACAATCCACCAAACGTGAGAACATGTTATGACTATTGCAAGCATCCACAACCTCGTTTTAATCTTTACAGTGAATATAGAATGGTTGAGTTAAAATTTCTCTTTATCCCATTCAATGAATGCTTGCCTGGTTGCAAAGCAAATGAGGCAATGAAGATTGTCGAAAGAAAATTCCTCGATGGTTCAACCCAATATGAAGTTGTCAGGAATCACTTATCGTGCAATTTTTGGAATACAAAAGTCTATAAAAGTCCACCTTCTAATAGCACACGCAGTGATCCAGGTAAAAAATTTTCAATTATGATTGAAAAATTTAACCAAAAAGCGTACTGTGTGTAATTAGATGTGCACAACTTTTGAGAAAAATTGCAAAATAATCCTGTTTTACGATTTGCTTCATGATCTCATTTCCATAAAATTTCTCTACAGAAAGTCGACCCCAGGTGCTAAATAAAGGGTTATTTGTTTACATCACATCACCTAAATTGATGTTAGTTGCCTTCATTCTCTCGACTGTCCTCATCTCAATACTCGTTCTGGACTGTAATCTATGTCATCGTAAGAAAGGAATAATGTATTCGATAAAGAGTTGTGGAAAGAATGAAGAGTGTAAAGACTGCATAAGAAGACAGCAGACTATGATAGAAATGGTTTAAGTATCAGTAGTTTTTGTGTCACATTTCTGCTAAAAGGAAGACATGAATGAATAAAGCATCTGAAACCAGGCCCATCGGAAGCTGTGGGTTTGGGCAGGCTGCAACCCCTTTCAGTAATTTTCAAAATTGTTGTGAAATTTAACAAGCCCAGCTTTTCCCCAAATCTTCTAGAAGAAAGTCACATACCGTAGATTCTCGAAATAATAAGCTGCCCGGTCTATTTCAATTTTAAAAAGGTGGCTAATTTAATGGTGCGGTTACTTTCAGTGGAATGATATTTCGAGACTCTAAGATATTTGAATTTTCAGACCCCCCTTCTTTATTAGAGCTTCCGACGTCGATGAAAACAAGAAATGGCTGAACATTGTGTTGTGCGACAAGATGAATGACGTACAACTCATGACAATCCACGCAACGCTATTAAAGTGTATGAATTGTTTTCAGCAGAAACTGTGATCGTAATATTCTAATAATTGCATAATATTCTAAAAGCTGTATAATATTTGCACTAATTTCTGCCAAATCCACATTTATACTAGATATTTTTAATTACATTAAATTTTCTTTATTGATATTAAACTGGAATTCATGATTATTAGTGAATGCGATGAAAGTTGACGTGTTCTGAGAGCAGTGAAATGGGCAAGTTTTGTTGTTGCATATTCTAGCAACTTTTTGCTCATCTTGCTCATCTTGTGGGCATCCACTGAAGAAGGTTTTTAAAAGCCTTTTTCCCTCGTAAACCAGAATATTAAGACCAAAGGAATGATCAAGTCAGATGGCAGATCATCATTTCAAGAGCTTTCCTTTTCAGTGATAAGTTTATGGATTAGGCTGACTATTATAACAAAGAACGTCCAATTAGATTAGAAAAGTAAATTTAGTAAAGTCAAAAGAACCAGTTGAAACTTTGGTTACCTTTCATGCACGAGAATGTGTTTATATAACCGCGTTTTCTTTTCTTTGATTGTGGACTAAATCAAGCATGAATAGACTACTTTAAGTATAAAGAGTAAATTGATAAAATCTTGGATAATAACTGAACCAAACGCAATAATGACCAAATCAATTCAAGTGTTTTAGGGAACAAGCAACTTTTTATTTGCAAATATAGTGGCAAGAAAATCGTTATTTTTGTAGATAAAACGTTTGTTACTTGCACCGCAATTAACGTAGCCGATAATCCGTCTTATGTCCAGCGTATCAGTGGCGTGCGTCACGATGCCAGAGTAGGGCCCTGGGACCAATGGGAAAATACTGGCCCTTCTTAAAAAATGTTAGCTTTTGCGCAACAGAAAATTATTTCATAAGAATCATAACTATCTTCTCCTTTCTCTTTTGAAATATAAATATCATATTTTCCTTCATAAATTATTTAATTATATGTTTAAAAGATAGCTATATTGAGTTTCATTGAAGTTGATTTAAATTTTATATAAATGGTTGGTCATTAAATAAATAGATCAGTAGCTAAATCATGTTAATTTTTATGCTGATTACCAAAGAATAACACGTGCAAAATGTTAATATGGCGGACGATTTTAAATTCTTTGCAATTCAAAAATAAAGCAAAGGAATGGACCGTTTCTGCCCTCAATGAATTAATAAATGACACACAAGAATGACGCCGAATCATCAAACAAATTTAACTTTGTTGCATTTTTAAAACGTTGTATAAAACGTCAAACTCACTTGACCTGTCTCGCATTGAAGGTGAAAAAGTCGTTTAACTGTCTCAATTCAGAGATTTTCCTGAAGAGCTAGACAGTATTTTGACTGAATTGATCAGTGACAAATGACTTAGAATGTATCTTAATTTGCCAATCACAACAAATGATAACCACAAGCAAGTTAAGAATTGTTAATTATGTCGCGTATTATTCATTATTTGCATGTGTTATAGCAATCACTAAACCTTTCGTTGCTTTATAATTTGATAATAAGCTGAAGTTTTAATATTGCAGGAGATTATATTTTAGGAATGAAAAAAACAAAATAGTGAAAAGCACTTTCTAGCCAAAGTGAATTAAAAAAAATTAATACTTGTTTTAATGCAAATTGCCGTCACTTGAACGTTACAATCGGGAACAACTGAATACATGAGTATCCACCCCCTCCCCTCCCCAATTTACTGTTCTGTAGAGGGTCCTGCTTTCACGTATTAAACTAGGTATCCAAGGATTATCGTGACTAAAACACCACACGAGTACATACGAGTACATACGAGTACATACGAGTAACATACGAGTACATAGGAGTGACATACGAGTACATACGAGTAACATACAAGTACATACGAGTAACATACGAGTACATACGAGTGACATACGACTATTTTCTCGTCAACAAATGAGAGACAACACAATTTCTTCAATACATTGATATTTGCGTTTATTTTTCCTTGTATTTGTGTGGAATTTGGAGCAACCTTTCGATGGATTTAAATGCTGAAAAGGTATTTTACTTTCATACTACATTCATTTGTATGTTTTAGTTGAATTTGTTATAGATATTTTGTCGATGCGATTTGCCAGTATTTGAGCGCTTTTTGACACACTTTCACCAAGGAAATACATATTTATGAAAGCGATTATACATTCATTTTGGTCTTTAAGATACTGATTTTGCCGTTAAAAGACTGAATTATATCAGCTAGAACTTTGAAAACATGAAAAGTAAGCTGAAATTGTACGCATAATATAATATATATACGTAACACAGTGCAACTCTCATTTAATTCAAATATATATAATGTACATTTATTTCATATAGCACGTTTTGAAAGCTTTATTTATACGTTGTTTATTTAATCGCTTTCATAAATATGTATTTCCTAGGTGAAAGTGTGTCAAAAAGCGCTCAAATACTGGCAAATCGAATCGACAAAATATCTATAACAAATTCAACTAAAACATACAAATGAATGTAGTATGAAAGTAAAATACCTTTTCAGCATTTAAATCCATCGAAAGGTTGCTCCAAAGTCCACACAAATACAAGGAAAAATAAACGCAAATATCAATGTATTGAAGAAATTGTGTTGTCTCTCATTTGTTGACGAGAAAATAGTCGTATGTCACTCGTATGTACTCGTATGTTACTCGTATGTACTCGTATGTTACTCGTATGTACCAGTGAACTCCATATATATATATATCTGGAATGATAACGACAATACATTTTATAGATAAAAAGTTGAAGCCAAAGTCCTAGTCTCTTGCGCGGTTTGTACGTCAGTTCCAGTCCTTCAAAGTCGAATGTTCACGCGGTTTGTACGTCAGTATCATTCCCCTGAGTGCCAAACATACACGGCCAATATAAATTTGAATACAAATTGCAAAAGCATAAACATATAAACAACATGACGACAAACAACACACGAGGCCAACTCTTCGCAAAGGTTATTTTTACAGCTGAAACTTTACTACAGTGAGTTCGTTGTAACTTACAACTTAAAACTAGGAAAAGCCAACTGAAAATTACACTGTATGCTAAAAAGACAATACAATAAGAAAATATGACGAGAAAATATTCAAGCAAACATTTTTGTTACATCGGAAGGTAAATTTTCGAACGGTGTCAGACAGTGTTTGTCTTTTTTTTGTCAATTCAGTGGATTTAAAGATCTGTTTTTCCGAAGAAAAAAGAAACTTGAATATCCAGTTTCATAAAAAATATTGAGTTTATAACTCCCATTTTTACTTTTTACAGAGCGGTTGTATTTTTCATCGATTTTAATAGTGCTTGAAATACTAAATGGTTGTCATCTCGATATCAATAATTGAATATCCTTAAAGACTTTGATTTGTTTTAAAGGAAAACCGCAGCGTAAGAGCAGATCGACTAAGTTCACCTCACCTTGCTTTTCGATTTATCACTTTGATTCACTTTCCGTGAACCTTTTCATTCCAAAAATTTCGTTATTTTTACGCTCTGATCAAGATCCGAACTCTATCATTACCAAGGCACAAATGATTTAAAAAAATTAAAATGAACATGCGAGAGACTAGAGCCTGACGGGTAATGACGAATGATGACGACAAATATTTTTGGCTTCAATTTTGGCTTCGGTTATCATTCCAGTTATTCAAATGTCGAGTTCACTGGTATGTACTCGTATGTACTCGTGTGGTGTTTTAGTCACGATCATCCAAGGATAGTGCAAAGTGTTAAAATATGCTCTCATATTCTTCCTGTAATTAGTAAATAATTAAGTCAAGTGTAACTAACTAAATGATTATTTTAAGAGATACTTATGTGCAATAATCACAATATTTTTTATAGTTCCTAATAGCTTTCCGTTGATTGTAAATTAACCATACTTAGTAAGAAACAAATATATCCATACGAAATATCTTGTATAAATAGAAGTAGTTTAACCATTGTAAAATAGATCGTTGACCATAGACATTGACGTTGAACATTAAATGTGATCGAAATAGTTATCTGTGATATTTCTATTGTTCGTGTAAGGCCTGTTTTATACGTCGAATTTCCGTCGAATTTAATCTGTCGAATTTAATGCGTTGAATTTTATTCGACGGAAATGCGACGTATAAACCGAATATCTTCAACGCGTCGCATTAAATGCGACGCTGTCGTGTTAAGCCTCATTTCCACCTATCGCACGAGTCAACTCGCAGCTCGCTGCGAGAGCTCGCCATTGTTCGTGTCTGTTTCGAGTACTCGTTGTTTGATAACTGTTTTTTAGCGAGCTAAGGAAAAAAATGGCGGTCGCTTAAGGAGTGAAGAATGAGTCCTTTGACTAGAAAGCAAATAATTCTTTTACTCTATTTGCGAAGTCGAAGAATACAGCGTGAAAAATACCGCAATACCGCAAACGTTTTTGGATCAGGCCGATATTCCAAAAGAGATCTCAACATAGCGAATTTTTCACTTTAGCGAAGGAATTACGAGATGGAGACCACGAAGGTTATTTCCACAATTTTAGGATGTCACCTGATCAATTCGATTATTTACATAGCCTTGTGGGCTCCCTTATTCAAAAGAGCGATAAAAGTCGTGATGTCATTAGTTCAGAAGAACGATTAGCGTTGACACTTTGCTATTTAGCATCAGGAGACAGTCCACGAAGTTTGTCTTTCAGTTATAGAATAGGAGTGACAACTGTACAAAATTATTTCGAATACCTGTTTGGCAATTTGGAATGCTCTTTTGTCAAAAGGATTTTTGAAAGCTCCCAGTTCACCGTATGAGTGGTTAAAAATAGCTGATGAATTCAAAAGAATCTGGAACTTCCCTAATTGTTGTGGGGCCATTGATAGCAAGCACATAAAAATACAAGCACCAGCAGGATCAGGGAGTTTGTACTATAATTATAAACACTGGCATAGCATTATTCTCATGGCTATTGCTGCAGCAGACTATTCATTCATATTAGTTGACATTGGCGATAATGGTCGTCATAGTGATGGAGGTGTGTTTCAGAATTCTAAATTAGGTATTGGGTTGCTGTCAAATTCTCTTCAACTTCCTGAACCATGCTGCATAAGTAATAGAATGAGTACTTTTCCCTTTGTCTTTGTTGGTGATGAAACATTTCCATTGATGAAAAATCTGATGCGTCCCTACCCTGGCAAATTTCTACCACAACATGAGCAAATTTTCATCTATCGCCTTTCCAGGGCCAGAAGAGTTGTTGGAAATGCATTTGGCATTGCTGCCTCAAGATTTCGAATATTGAGAAGGGAAATTATTGCCAAACCTGTGAAAGTTGAGAGGATTACCATGTAGTTGCACTTCATAATTTCCTGATAAAGTCGGAGGCAAAACAACAAGCATGTTCTAGACAAAATTTACCCCATGGTTTTGTGGACAGTGAGGACAGGTATGATTAGATTCCTTAATTTTTTTCAAGAATACCATACTTCAAAAATTTTAATGAATCAATTTTGATGAACTCAAACTGATGTGAAATATTCTTGACTTCATAGACAAATTTGAGAAGAGATTTCATTTGCAAGAGAATTATTATCTTTATCCCCTTATTTTAGAAATGGAAAAATTTTATTGGGCTTATGGAGAGCCTCTGTGGAGAATGCACAAGGCTTAAAGTCAATTGGGAGACAAGGCTCAAATTTTTATAGGATGCCTCAGAAGTACGAGATCAATTTAAAGAGTATTTCATGAAACCAGTGGGTGAAGTTCCATGGCAGCAAAATCATACTAAAGAAGATAGATGGCTACATCACAAAACCTATCACAAAGTTTCTAAGAAAAATTGTTAGTAAACATGGCAAATAAAACTAGTTTTAAGAATGCCTAGTATCGCACCATGGCGTTTCAAATATGCTAAACTGAAATTCATTTCGAGAAGTGCTTATCAAAGGCTCAGCAGTTTGTTTTTTGACGAATAGCTACAACTATTCCAAGATTGCGTAAATAAACGTTAATTTCGTATGCGCATTTACATAGCGGACACATATGCCTGGTTTCCATATGATCGTTTCTGTCGCTAGAGTCGTTTCTGTCTGTTGAAAAAAGTCCCCTGCGGTGATCAAACGACAGAAGCGATTATCGCGATGAACAGGTTTCCATTAATCGTATGCATCGTATCTAATTTGAACTAGTCACCATACACTTACTATATGATATATTCAAAATGGCGGCAGTCAATCGAAGAGGAAGACTTGTAGCGTGTTATTTTCTTTTGCGTGTGCTAAGAAGAAGGAGAGAGCGAAAGCAAAAAAGAAAACATGGGTTTGGGTTTTAATATTTCGAAAATTTGTTATATAAACAATCATACTTCTGTACTTCATAATGAGGACATTTGGCACGCCACAATCATACATTCGTAATTCATGCATCACAATCTAGCGTTGTTGTTGAATCCTCATTATCCGGTCAAAAGTATAGACTTTCAACCGTGGGAAAGTGTAAATTTTATTTATAATCTAACAAAGATGCTCATCTCTTCAGTATAAATGATGATATAAGCGGTATACCATATGAAACATGTATATATTTTAAATAATTTCTAATTAGCAGCAATTTTAAAAAACACTTGAGAAAAACGACGATTTTTTTGAGAGCAAACATGTTTCGACATTATCAGAATGCCATCTTCAGTGCAGAATGATTAGTGTTAAGTAATATGATACATAATATGATATGAGTAAATTAATTACAATGAGTATTAAGTATTAATAACTATAACGTAAGTTCTAAAAATAAGTATTAAGAATTTATAACAAAAGTATTATTATAAAGTAAATATAGTGTTGTAGTGGTGAACTT